CCCCTTTTCTACCAGAGTTTGACTGAAAATTGGATACTTGGAGTGGGGGTGAGGGCAGATATGGAAGGGAGATGGAACCATCATTTTCTAAAGAGGAAGGGAAGCCTTAAAAGGGAGCAGGAGTGGGGGCTAGGAAGCAAATGATGGAAAGGAGGTTAGGGGGTGGAGGAGAGTAGCTAGTGGGCAGGGCCATGTCTGCTGTGCTACCCAAGTGTTTTTGGAAACTGGGATCAGCTGACAGCATCCCCAGCCCCCACATGGTAGCACAGGGATCCTGTTCCCAGCACATTATGCCTGGGTGGAGACCCCTGAAATCGGTGCTCCCGTCTTCCCTGACTTGCACCTGATGTTAACAGTGTGTTAGTAACTCAGGGTCCCAACGCCCTGCCCCACTGTCCCTTCCTCTCCTGCCGCAACCTCAAAGCTAAGCAACAGCTCTGCTCCCAGACAAGTTTTTGGGATTCCTGATCCTAGGGTAGCCCCAAAGCAACCATGGATGGTCTGTCAGTAGGACTGGAGTGGCAGTGGCTGATGGCTCCTCTTTTCCGAGGCCCTTCCCTACCCAGCAGGCTTCCTGCTTATCTGTGAGGTGATAGAGAGCAGGGTGGAGAGAGAAAGAGCCCTCATCCAGCAAGCTGAGAAAGAAAGAACAAAACTTTTAAGCCATCTGTCCCCAGCACAGGCTCCTGCTCCCTCCTTGCTGCCTCTGATAAAGAGGGAGATGCGAGTAGTTGACAGATTAACTGATAAACCTAGGCTTATCGGTTAATCATCTAGTCGACTACTTGTTGACATCTCCAATTTAAGAACCAAGCATTAAGTAAATCTTTTACTTCAGTGGTATCCCTTATTCATTTTGCCTTTATTTGTAGAGAATTTATATGGAGGAAAACTCCTTGACTGACAGTCTGTAAGATGTTATTAAAGACAGCAATAACTGTCATGATTGGGGAAAAGGCAATAAGCTGACATGGGCTGAAGCTGTTATTCTTAATGTTTCATTTTGATTCAAGACAAAACAAGATAAATGCACAAAAAGAGAGAGAAAAGAACAGCCAACGTGAAAAATGTAGCTTGTGTGTCCCATGCTGACTTTTACTTTCAACCTTGCCCCTGGAAAAACACAGGCATGGCTCACAGACTTATTAGCCACTCTGAGGTTGTTTAGGGCATGGTTTTAGTTGCTTTTCTGGTCATGGATTCTCAGTAGTTTTGCAAAATACATAAGCTACGTCTACACTGGTGTGATCTTGCACAAAAACTCTTTAGCACAAGAGTTCTTACGTTAAAGTAGTTGCGCAAGAGAGTGTCTACACTGGCACGTGCTTTTGCGCAAGAGATGTGCTTTTGCGCAAGAGCATCCTTGCCAGTGTAGATGCTCTCTTGCGCAAGAAATCTCTGATGGCCATTTTAACCATAGGGCTTTCTTGTGCAAGAAATTCATGTTGCCTGTCTACACTGGCCTCTTGCACAAGAACAGTTGCGCAAAAGGGCTTATTCCTGAGTGGGAGCGTCAGAGTTCTGGCGCAAGAAGCCCTGATTTCATACATTAGAATGACAGTTTACTTGCGCAAGAATATGTGGCCATTGTAGACAGGCAGCAAGTTTTTGCGCAAGAGCAGCCGCTTTTGCACAAGATCGTGCCAGTGTAGACACACAGTGTTTAGCAGCTAAGCCAGAGTCTCATTAATCAGGCTTGAAAAGGAGAAAGATATGAAAGATAGGGTAGAGAAGGAAAAGGACACACATGAGGGGGTGATAGCAGGAACCCAAGTGTCATTTCAGGTTGTGCTCAGGATTTAGCTGAAGCTGGTGGATGTGATGATGTCATCAGTTCCCTGTCCCTGGACTGTCTAATTCAGGATATCTCTTAGGATAAGGATAATGAAGGTCCAATGATACAATAGTGGATGCCAGCATTGCAGGAAATAGTCAAGGTGGTAAAGCTCACTTCTTTCAATTCACATGCCCTTCAACCTAGTGTACTGATTCCCTGTCCTTCCTCCAAAGTCTTTATTTATATTTAGGGATCCCAAAAAGAGGGTGATGGGTAGACTATCTCCTCTCCTCTATATTTTGTCCAAAACTTAGACCAAATTTCTAATACACCAATTCTGGTCCATTAATTTCTGATATCCTTCTCCTCTTGTTTACCAGTCATGATCTTAATACAGTCCTTGTATGGTATCAGCAACCCTTTTTGTTTGGACTAATCCATATCTTTCAGACTTTAAACTTTTGCTGACTTTTATAAACAATTATATGTAACAGGCTGAGTTGGACTTTTGTACGTTCACAACTTAGAGCAGCAGCCTCTATACAACATTCTTTTCTTTGTGAACTAATTTTGCTGAATATCAGATATTGCTTTATATGATACAATTGTAACATAAAAATAGTATATTTTTAAAGTACTTGGTTATATTTTAGGTTTGCAAGTTCTGTATCCCAAAATTGCTGTCTCATGCAAAAAACCAAAATCACATCAACATAAAAAACAAAAAACATACATTGCACAAACCACACAATCACAAACATAAATGATCACAACAAAAAAACTGGTACAACAACAGCCCTTTCAGAGCATTCCACACTCAGTTCATAGTTGATACAGTAGCAGTCCTGAATTAAAATGGCATTTTGTTAGTGAGGGATAACCCAGGATTCTCTTTTAATAAAAGTCTGTATTCAAAATTTAACCTTCAAAAATTTAAAATCCTTCATTTTAATCATATTTGCTTTTTCTTTAAAATTTCTTTATACTACCAAAATTATTCCAATTACAAAAACTATCACTCAGTATAAAAGAAAAATAGAAGCAAAACATAGCATATTTTAAAAGATATAAAAATTCCTAAGTATAAAATGAATTGTGAAATGGTCTTTTTTTAAAGCAAGAACATTAACAGTTTACTTTGCATATTTAATCCAAACAAAATCACCATGTTCAAAGATTTAAAACAAACTTTTGTTTCTCAAATCAACTGTAACCTCTAAAGTATAATCTTAAAAATAAACTTTAAAAACAACAAATGGTCTGATAGCACTTTATAGACTAACAAAACATGTCGATGGTATCATGAGCTTTTGTGGTCACAGCCCACTTCTTCAGATGAGTCTTATGGGAATTCACCCATCCTCTAGGACAGCGTTTCTCAAATTGTGCTCAGTGGAGCCCCAGGGGCTCCATGAGACATCTCTAGGGGCTCCGCGAGGTTGACAAACTGGAAACATCGATAGGTACAACACATACAATCAGTGGACTGCTAGGGCTCTGCATACATTTTATGCATGTAAAGGGCTCTGGGACCCAAAAAGTTTGAGAACCGCTGCTCTAGGAATTCTCAAAGGTAATTGCTAATGGGTCTGAGATTGCTTCAGCTAATTCCTTAAGGTCCATTGAATGAATGTCATCAGGCCTTGCTTAAATTAATACATGAATGATCTGAATAGTTTTTCAACCGTTCTCTGGGTTTTGGCTGACATACAATTAATATTAACATAACAGAGAGGAAAGTATCACCCTTTACTCTTTAGCTCACACCTCGTGAGGCTTTTTTTGGTGCCACTGCTGTAGGATAGTGATAGGAATGTAGCCGTGTTAGTCTGGGGTAGAACTGACTCTCTTGGGGACACGGCGGCTGCAGCTAAGGAATCGCTGGCAAGTTTGTGGTTACAAAGTTTCCCCTCTTCCCAGTTCTGCCCTGGCCTTGGCACGCGGTGTCTCAGCGCCACGGCCTGCAGGGGGAGGCCAGGGCCCGCAGAGCAGCCTGTCCGGCTGCAGCTCCCCCGAGCAGCACGTGCGGCGACACTGGGCTGGGGCTGGAGCCCGCTCCCCGCGCTACGGACCACGCGCAGCAGCGCAGAATCCAGCGCGGGCGTTTCCCCTCTTCCCAGTTCTGCCCTGGCCTTGGCACGCGGTGTCTCAGCGCCACGGCCTGCAGGGGGAGGCCAGGGCCCGCAGAGCAGCCTGTCCGGCTGCAGCTCCCCCGAGCAGCACGTGCGGCGACACTGGGCTGGGGCTGGAGCCCGCTCCCCGCGCTACGGACCACGCGCAGCAGCGCAGAATCCAGCGCGGGCTGTCAGGTCTCGCGACGCCGCCAGCAGTGCACCAGCCCCGCCCT